GTTGGAATTTGGTCGAGTGATTGCTTCATGGTCGAGTGTCTTGAATCTGTCGAGTGGGATACCTCCAAGTCGATTGAAAGGTGACTTCTTCTAGGGATGTCCTTGGATAAGGTACTTAGGACAGGTCCATGCCCCTATCCTAGGTACATAACTTCATCAGCACGCGCTAAATTTTAACGCGGCTGCTGGAGCCAGCGCTGCCCGCCGCGCTTTTTCAGACGATGAACGCGCTGCAAAGCACTTTTTAGCGCGCCGCGTGTTGGGTGGCTGTTGGAGATGCTCTAAACAAAAGAAGAATTCCTATTTTTCAACTCCCACTACTAGTACATATATATGCATACATATACACATGGGTTCGGTTCATGTGCCTATCCGATCCGAGGATGGTGTGTTAGCTTAGAAGAGTGGCCGCCATACACCATTATATCACATCAAAATTACCTATCAAGATGCCTTGTCTAGGAGAAGAAAGAAAATATTGGTTCAACCCAGCATCCAACGTGCACGCATATGATACACTCCATGATGCATCCATCATTGTGCAACCGCTTTCATTTCCAAGGTTCCGCCGAGGCTACACATGTCCATCCACCACCGTCCATGCCACGAACATCCAGCGGACCAGCAGTATCCAGCTGCGGGGGCTTCACCGGGACCTTTTGCCCACGTGGGCCCTCGGCATCGGCGCATCTCAGAATGGACGGACCAGGTTTCTCCCCGTTGGTTCGCGCTTCCACAAGGGAAAGCAACGCCCAACGAACATGGACGGGTGCGCTGGCTGTCGTTTTCAGGGCTCGCGCGTATGTACGAGAGAAAAGGGCGCTGCCAAACCTGCCCGAATCCAGCGTCGCCACACGAACGACGGAACATCTAAAATAATCATCAGGTTTCTCAAAAGAGAAAAAAAACTTCTGAAATATATCATCATGCGGCGTGTAGAAATTCAACCAGCAGAAAGGCTGCTTTGATGCTTAGTGCTTCGGCCTTTGTTTTCAATGCAAGTGTTTTGGGGTTGTCCAAACTTTTCAGCAAACTGTTGGTTGGCCTCGACAGCAGAAGGGTGCCTTGTTTCAGGACGGGAGACCGCACGCGTCAGGTTTTATTCGGTCGGCGTCGGTTTTTAGGTCCTCATTTTGACTAACGAAAATGTGCTATAGTGTTCTTTTCAAAAAGAGGAAGAGAATTCCTCTTTGGTCTATATATATATCATCAAAAGCATGTCATCTGATTCGTATTCAAATGAAAATGACACGTGTGTAACATGTTGACGAGTCAACTCACCGAGATATATAATTTACCATGCATTTGCAGTACATACACTCTTACTCACGACTCACATCCTGAATAACTGACAGGACACGGAGCTCATTTGAACTGAACTAACACGAGAAAGGAGCCGCCGCAACGTCAAAATGACACGAAACCAGCACAAAAATCATATCCCAGAGAATGATCTGCATTGATACCGAATAGAACACCGTGAGTGAATGCATAACTCAAAGTATAGCCGAATGGAATTTTGAACATCAGGAATTACTAAAGGGCAAAAGTGGATTCTAGCCACAGATACAACACGGACGACTAAATACATGCTCCGAGTTCAAAAAGGCAAACAAAGACGACCAATTTGAAAGGTCAAGTAACATTATTTTTCTGTTTTTGTGGAGAACATATCCATTGCCATCACATTATGGTGCTACCAGCCTACCATGCTACTGTCCCTCCGAAAGCGATGTGAGTGGTCATTCAAAAATTTCGAGAAAAAACTTTAGATAAATCATTTATATAATCTAGCCTCCTGCATAAAGTATAAAGAGAAAACTATAAATATTAGCTTTATGTTTATCCTTTTGCCCTCATAACAAATTTTCTATTTTGGGTCACCGATTCTAGACCAGATTTTTGTAAGATATTATATGACATGTTAGATTGATTTTATATCCATGTTATCGGAACTCTCAAAGAACAACTGTATCATTTTCCCAGGGGTGGCAGGCCCTAACATGATCTGATGTTTTCTACCTTCCTGTTACCAACCAGTCCCAAAGAAAATACAGAGGCCCACATGCGTTTGATGCAAATTTTTAGCTGCTCTATTAACATCTGCCAGCTGGTATGACCACGATCCTTCCATTTCTGAAGGATGCTAAGAATGTAAGCAAACTGTGGTGAATTTGTCTTTTTTGTCTGGAAATCTAGATCAGATTCATCTAACAAATTATATGACATGATAGACCATTCCATGTCAATGTTGTCGGAATTTCCAATGAAGGATTGTACAATTTTTTCGAGGGGTGACAGGACCTGATATGTTCTCATGTTTCTACCTTCCTGTTATGTACCAAATAGACACAAAGAAAAAGACAGAGGCCCACATGCGCTGGATGCAAATTTAGCTGCTCTGTTAACATCTGCCAGCTGGCATCACCTCCATCCTTCCATTTCTGAATGATCAAGAACGTAAGAAGATTGGGTGGTGAATTTGTCTTTTTTGTTTGGAAATCTATGCCAGATTCAAATAACAAATTATATGACATGATAGATTGATTCTATGTCAATATTGTTGGAATTTTCAACAAAGAATAGTATAATTTTTCATGGGGTGGCAGGACCTGAAATGTTCTCTCTACCTTCCTGTTATATACCAAAATGTCACAAAGAAAAGATAGAGGCCCACATGTATTCTGTGCATTTATTTTTCGAGAAACATGTTCTATGCAAAATTAGCTGATGTGTTAACATCAGCCAACTGGTATAGCCATCTGTGAATGATTATGAGAATGTAAGCGGATTAAGTGGTGAAAATGATGTTGTATAGAGCAGTAATCATATATTGTTGACACTGTCCACATTCCCCTTGTCAACAAAATAATCATCTTAAGAGAAATGCATATGTGACTTTCGACGAGCGTGCATGTAAGCATTGGTCGACGTGGCATGGAAGCACCGTAACAGGAGAAAACACCAGATTAATTCTCTGAGGGTGGAACCCAAGTGTAGCAATAAAAAGTAATTAACATGCTTATGGGCACTTGAACAGTATTGTATAACCATGATGCTCACTTCTAATGCACAATCCAGGGTTTAGCTTTCTTGAATTCAGAAAGATAAGCAGACTAGGCCAATTGAACAAAAAATTAGCTGTATGGCAAAATAAAAGTGTATTGCATATAAAAATGCGCTATATGGGGTGAGCTTTGGCTAGAGCATCCATCTAACGTTATGTCAATGCCGACGGTGAAGTCTTAGGACAAGAAGCGCTAGTGCATAGCGGACGGTTAAAGCAATTAGATCACTGCACAACATTGTTTGAGATGGTTTGCGCATACACAACGCAGGCCTCCATAAGCGTAAGTGCACAGTGGACGGTTAAAGCGCGCTTATAATATCAAGAGAGACCGGGGTAGACCAAACTTGACATGGGAGGAGTCGTAAAGAGAGATCTGAAGGACTGGAATATCACCAAAGAACTAGCCATGGACAGGGGTGCGTGGAAGTTAGTTATCCACGTGCCAGAACCATGACTTGGTTTCAAGATCTTATGGGTTTCAACTCTAGCCTAACCCAACCTGGTTGTTGTGGTTGTTGTTGTTTGTTTCTTGTAAAACTAATGAACTCAGTATACCATTTTTTCCAGTTATTTTTATCCTGTTTTTGTGACCTTGATGGCCGAATTGAGGGTTTATATATCTGTAAAGTTGGGCGCGCCTCACGCCTTTAGTCTAAAAACATGTAGTTTGTCAGATATTTTCAAAAGAAAAACTTTCATATGTTTGTGTGAGATGTTTCTTCCTTTGATCCAGTATGACAATGCATCTAATGGCATAACACGTAATAAAGTTTGTTGTGACACCATAAATATTCTTTTTTTTAATAGTTGGTTGAACCATGGCTATCTACCGTTTATTCGTGTGGGGATACACGCTTTTCAGCATAGGCTACTGTAGCTCATCATATTTTTAATCCCACCTAGCACACAAACGCAAAGCACAACACATGGTAAAATCGTTAAAAATACATTAAAAGAAAATCTGTATTTTGTTTGACATTGTATGTGTTCACGTCTTCTGTATGGGTGCAAAATTTTATGAATAAATGATCCATTTTGTGCTCTGGGAGATAAAAAAGCACAAAACCGGTGCTCTAAAAATGTAAATATTGGATACTACGCACTTTAATTAGACTTTGGATATTGTGCACTATACTCATTGAGTTCACAATGCTGTATGGATCTCGAGATACCAAAATCCGCATCCTGCGGTTTAGAGATATGGACCAGCTGAACCATGGGTCAGCAAACCCCCTCTCCATTTTTCTGCTCTGTGGCTGAAGTACAAATTTCTGATAGTAGCATATACGGTGGTTGAATACTATTTTTTGAGGTGTGCATGAATACGTCCATATGCGAGTGTCATGGTTCTTTTGTATCCATAGTACAAAATTCGATGTGTTGGTTCTTTTGTATTTGTCTTCTGTCTAGAGTTTTCTTGTAAAAATGATGAACTCATAGAACATTGCTACTATTAGTTTATCCTGTTTTGCTATCTTGATGGCCGGTTTGGGACTTCATATCTGTAAAGCTGGGCACGTCTTCCATCTAAAAACATGTTTCTGTGAGATATTTTTAAAAGAAAAACTTTCAAATGTGAGTGTGAGATGTTTCTTTGGTCCAGTATGACAATGCATCTGATGGTAAAACATGTAATAGAGTTTTGCTGTCACACCGTAAGCATTTTACCCGCGGCTAAAGTACAAATTTCTGCTTGTAGCATATACGGTGGCTGAATACATTTTTTTTGGGAGGTCTGGTCGAATAATTTTGCTAGTCATATTCTAGTGCTTGGTAGAAAATGAGACAAACTCACCAATACTAAATTTGTAATATTGGATCTAATATTACTGCCATTCCAAGAAGCAAAGGTAGAAAAGCTAAGAATTGCTCACCGAGGTTACAGAAGAACCAGCCATGGGTTCTCACACTGAGGTTACTGAAGAAGCAGTCATCGTCGATTTCTTTTCTTTCCCCTGGCCTTGGCCCTCTTCTGCCTCGCCTCCTCTTTCTGCCTCTCAGCCTCCTCCCTCTCAAACTTCTCGCTCTCCCTCTTCTGCAAGAAGTCCTGCACCGCCAGATAGATCACCTGAATTTCCAGCAAAAACACAAACCAGAAAATACCTACGAAATCAGCACCGAAATCCAAAAATAACACTGTCCATCAACGCAATTCGCCACCATTCATTATTATTTTTTCGAAACAGAGGCAAAAGCTTTGCCTTTTTCATTAATTAAGAAGAAGATAGCTGCCCAGTTAATTGCCGGAAAACTGAGCGAAAACCGATACATCGAGGGCCAAGCCCACACTAGAACTCAAACACCTAACGCCCGACACCGCGGATGACGCCTCGCAACAAGCAAACCCGCGAAACCTCATGCGAACTACTCCCAAAATAAAAAATACCGTAGAAGAGGAAACAAAGCGGCAACTAACATGTTGCAGAGTTGACCCTCACGGCGGCACATACCACCTGGTTGGCATGTTTGGTCTGCTCCGCTTTGACAAGGCGAATCAATCCCTGGGTGATCGCAGGCATGGCAATGAGGCATTTGATCAGCTCGGTTAAGTCATGCAAAGTGTCACCTTCATCAATCGCGAAAGCGCAGCCTTTTGCAACAGCCTGTACTTCATCGGAGATAGAACTAGCTAGGCTGATCTCAGTGGTCACCACCGGAGCAACTAACCCCAAGGTCAGCGGCTGCATGGTGTTGCCAATGCCTCAGTACCTTGGTCCCTGTGGTTTGCCACCAGCGCCGCCTGCGTCGTCGGCAACGACCCCTGCAGACCAACTGATGCCTCCGCCCGCTCCAGTAAGCTGGTTGCACGTGCCAACCACAAGCACAAAGAGTCCTCAAGCTTATGCAATGGACGGAGCGCCAGCTCCATCATGACCTGAGGATCAGAACCACTCGAGGCAAGCAAGGATTCAGAAGATTTTGCCACAACCTCATGATCAGAACTACCTCCACTAGAAGCTTCAGAAAACCTCACAGACTCGAGAACTTCAGCATGCACTACAGGAGCAACAACGGAAGCCCAAGAGCGGCTATCAGAGGACGGACATGGCGGAGCTGGAAAGGCACGCGCACAGCGGCGAGGAGCTCTGACGGAGGAGAGGCGAAGGCAACAATCCCTCTCACGGTGCCCAGAGCGGAGACATGTGAGGCATCGAATCGGGTCGCGGCAGAAGGCGGCCTTGTGGTCCGGAGCCAAGCAGCGGAAACATCGTCCATAGGTTCTCCGTCTGAAGGCCGCAGCTTGCACAAGCTTTGCAGATTGAGAAGCATGGTCACAACGCACATCGCCACGGGGACGACCCTTTCGTCCTACGAAAATCCAAGGACCTTCCCCAGGCTGAGCATCCACGGCCTGCGCTGTATCACAAGAAGACGGCACGGAAAAGCAAGAAGCTGATGACACACAATCCACAGCAGCATTCGTCGCCAGCGGCGCCAGCTCCCCCATCATTGCAGCGCCGGAAGTGAGGCCTTCGGCGACGGTCAGCAGCGTGCACGGCACGAACTCAGCATCTTCACCCGGCGACGACTGCGTAACCAAGGCAGCAACTTCGGCCCCATCCCCAACATCGGGGCAAGGCGGGATCTGCACACAGGGGACGACGCCATGTGTGGCCGCCGGATGCAACAGCAGAGCCAACTCCACCTCCTTCTCACCAACAACGGCTGTGCAGCCACTCTTGGCCCCAAGCAGAACCTCCGTCACATCTGCAGGAGCAGGGCTCCGGTCAGCCGGAGGCGACAGGGAGACGGAATCCAGATCCGCCTGATCTGGATCGAGCTGGGGGAGCCCAACTTTGGGGGACGCCCGAGGCTCCGGCGGCTCAGTGGAGACGGAGCCGACAATGGAGGCGGGGGCGGCGGGCGGCGGAGCCGGAGTGGTCGTCGACGCAGCCTTGGAGCAGCGCGAGCGGTTGATCTGGACCTCCCTCTGACCTCCATTCTCCGCTCGAATCCTACAGGCAGGGGGCCGCGGCCGTGGGCGAGGGAGTACGCGAGGCGCTGAGAGGGTGGCCGGCGGGGCCGGGGTGGCCGCCGCCGGTGAGGGCTGGTGGAGGGGCGCAGGGTCGGGGTCGGGGGAGCGAGCCGTTGCTGCTCCCATCTTTTCCTCGACGTCGTGGTTTATCAAAAAGAATTCGGCCACGTAGTTCCCACCATTCATTATTCAAGGGGGAGCGAACTGATTCGACAGACAACAAAGAACAGACGCGTCACGCACCCCGATTGTGAGGAGGGAGAGCCCGACGAACGAGACCGTGAGCAGCACCGACACCACGGTGGCGGTGATGCTGTCGTCGTCGGCGGCCACCCTCATCATGGCCTCGGTCTGCTCCACCTCTTCGATGGCGGCGGCAGGCGGGCGCAGCCTCCTGGCGAGGCGCAAGCGCCCGGTGCCTGCCCCGGCATTCCTACCACGGCGCGGAGCAGCGACGCACCTCGAGAAGAGCGCTGGCCTGGGTATCGCGGGTGGCGCGAGAGGGAGGGGAGAGAGGGAGCACGCTGCCGCCATTATCTTCCCGTCCCTCGCGCCAGCGGAAGGAAAGGGGATGCAAATGAACGGTCGGAACGAACGGGGAAATGGATGGGCCAATCTGGCGCTCAATGGGCCCGTACCGGGCAGAGTGGATGGGCCGAGGCCTGCCGTGTCGCGCGCCGAGCGGCCGAGAGAATTCCAGAGAAATCCATCCCCATCCAGACGAAGGAAACCGATGAGGACGCCACCGCTGTGCCGCGCGGCCGGACCCGTCCGCATTCGCCTCGCCAGTTTGTCTCTGACACGCACTCGAGGAAGAGAAAGCCAACGAACGAGCGCTCACCGCAACGCACTCGACTAACCGCGACACCGCAGCCCGGTGGTGGTTCCGCCTCGCTTCGCCGGCGGCGTCGTGGGATTGTGATTCGGGAGCGGGAGAGGTCCGGGATGGCCGGGGATCGGATGAGCTGGGCGAGGCTGCTCAAATGGAGCCTCTCCTACATGGACGGCGCGCGGCCTTCGCGCGACATCAGGTGGGGCGAAGGGAAAATGGAGGCTTTATGTCTTCTGCTGTTTTCATTTGGGCTGCGGCTGAGGCAAGCGTGTGGTGTGCTGTGTTGTGCAGTGAGGAGGAGCGGAGGTGGCTGGCGGAGGCGGTGGAGCGGCACATGGTGGAGGACGTGGTGGGCCGTCTGAGGGAGATCGCGCTGCTGATGAGAACCCCGCTCTCCGTCCTGGAGGCGCAGGGCATCACGCCCGAGGACATCGAAGGTACGGATCAGTCGTCGAGGATGAACGGTGGTCGATTGGTAGTATTAGCTTGGATTGTAGAGTTTTGATGATAGAGTAAGGATGATGGATGTGTGGAATTGTGGTGCTAACCATTTGCCCACCCTTGAAAAGACTGGAATATGCATGGTTCTGAACAATTTAGGTGAAACATATGCGATTCTGAATATTCCCAGCATTCTGAATATTCTGTAATTCGCAACATTGCGATTGGTATTCGTAATTCACACTTGCCGGTTGGCGACAGTGGATTTGTAGTATTAGAGTGGATTTGAGAATTTGGATAAACTGAGGATGCTGGATGCGTGGAATAGTGGTAACAATTTGCCCGCCCTTAGAAAGATTGGAATATGATTATTTTGAACAATTTTTAGGTGAAACATATGCGGCAGTTAGGAATGTTCCAGCATTCTGAATATTCTGTAATCCGTAACATTGCGATTGGTATTCATAATTCACCAAAGCTTTTCAGGTCAACGGGAATAAAACCCTTTGTCTCGTCCTTCAAAATGTTAGGCCTCTTTTGAAGATTGTCATTTGTTATAATCTTATCTTAGCCCAATAACACTAGTATTTTTGTTTGCCCTTGATTGGTGCTGATTAATTACTTGTGACCGTTGCAGATTTGCTCGCAGAGCTGCAAGTACATGTCGAGTCTATCGACATAGCAAATGGTATGTCTGATCATTGTTATATTTTTACATTCCTTGCTACTCATGGAATACCATGGTCCAACTATGGTGTATGAATTGGCTTAGCATGGGAGGCATAAGTCATATCCTTTTGACGTCCTCTTGGGATACTCACGCAGCCACGCAGAGATCTCAGTCAAGCAATGTCCTTACACAACATTTTTTACTATTCTAATTTCTAAACAATTGAAGTCCCAGTGTCCACTGAACTTTCTGATTTCCGCAACTCGTCCTTAGTACTCCACTGCTACGGGTTAGTGATCGTGAAAGCACTAAAGTTCTGCAGATGTATTGTTGTTATTATTATTATTGCATTTCTGTGACGTGAACTCGGATTTATTACCTTGAGTTGAACCTACAGTTCCATCTGTAGGAAACAAAGGTAGCACTTGGAAGACATACTTTACTGGTGTCAAACTGAAAACATTCACGTCACTGGATGATTCAAAGGGATATGTAGTTTCTCTTGAGGTGGCTAAACAAATGGATGGAGGCAACTGTAGTGGGTTTTGCCAATAAAACACTGCTCTTCAGGTGAATTCTCAGCTTCCCCTTCCACTATGCTAGTATTACAACTTCCAAGGGGAGCTGATCTGTTAGGGTCCAAAAGATTGTTGCGTGCCCAGAATTGTTTGATGAATGAATAGATCGATAACAAGCTTGAAATGCAGAAACAAGGGTCATGCAATCACCAAAGCATTGTGAATATATTGCCTGTGTGAGCTTTTCAGTTATGATTACAGGTCATTGTTTATTGATTTCCCCGTTTGTTCCTCTGGTATGCTAGATCTGCATTCTGTTGGTGGCTTGGTTCCAGTTATTAGGTACCTCAGAAATACTAATGCACGCATCCGAGCCAAAGCAGCTGATGTGGTAACAACGGTTGTTCAAAACAATCCGACTAGCCAGCAGCTGGTCATGGAAGCTAGTGGTTTTGAGCCACTTGTATCCAATTTTACATCAGATCCTGATCTCACTGCACGCATAAAGGCTCTTGGTGCACTATCCTGTAAGTACTTTCCTCTTTCTGTTCAGATGCTGTACCCAATATGTGTCTGTTAAGTTTCTGGTTTGACAATTCGCTCTCATCATGTTCAGCCTTGATTCGGAACAACAAACCAGGAGTTGCTGCATTTCGTCTAGCCAATGGATATGCAGGACTGAGAGACGCCTTAAATACAGAGAGTGCAAGGTTTCAGAGGTAACATAATTGATCTAGCCCGAGTATATTCGCCAAATGTCCCGCTAGCATGCTTGTGACAGACACGTGTCTTCTCTGACAGGAAAGCACTAAGCCTGACTCACCATCTGCTCAGTGAAAGCCATTCCGATTGCTCGGTATTTGCACAGCTAGGATTTCCTCGTCTTATGATGCGTTTGGTATCCAGTGATGACTCTGGTGTTCGAGAAGCGGCATTAGGAGGCCTGCTTGAGCTTGCAAAGGACACAACACTGGGGAATAGGAGTTTACTAGCAGAGCAGGACAGGCTACGACGGCTTCTCTGGGGGCGTATACAGAGCATAAGGATGATGGCTCCTGAAGATCTTGATGCTGCACGAGAGGAAAGGCAACTCGTTGACTCATTGTGGATTGCATGCTACCATGAGCCATCCACACTTCACCGGGAAGGATTTGTCGTTCTGCCTGGAGAGGAATCTTTTGAACAACCTCCTGATGTGGCTGGTAGATTCTTCGAGCCACTGCGCCGAGCTCCATTGCAGAGGGCACCTC